TTAGTGTCTTAGCATGGTGTAGAGTTCCAGGGGTTGACTCAGATAATATACCTTCAGACAGGGGTTCTAAACAGGTGGTATGCAAAGAAGCAAAGCATTTTTGGCTATTGAATTCAAAATTAAAACCCCAACATCTTGATTGAGTTTTTTCTCTAACACTTATAAATTTATGCAATCTGATCTTTGTTCAAGAGTGGTGGTGCTAAAGGTTTTCAATTTTTGTTTAGATGGTGCATGTTAGTCTAAAGGTTGAGAACCGCTGCCTTAAGGTTCTAATAAGCCAATAAAGCACCAGAGGTGATAAGTTGTTTTTCATTAAGTCTCACTACATGCAAAGAAAAAGTTTTACATAATTCTTACATTTTTTAGTTTTATCTTGTGACCATGGTAAGGGTTAATGAAAGGCAATAACTTGCTTTAATATGCAGAGATAATTTTTAAGGGTAAGCAGTTATAAGTAATTAAATTAGGTATTAGATAACCTTAGTCATTATGGATTTACAAAGCTACTATTAAATTTTATTTTTTTAACAATATTGGTAATTTGAAGCCTTCCCAGACATTTGGCTAATTTATATCGATTTCCTTCTCCTTAAGCATCTTTTCTAACAATTAGAAATTTGTCTCAATATGCAAAAAAATATCCTCACTAGTTTCTGCATGTTTTATCTCCTAACCTGTCAACCTCTCTGCAATATATCTATGAGGGTTTATTTGGTCTGGTAAAAGTTAAATAGTGCAAAACACCCTTTAAGATGTGAAGCAAATTATTGCTATGTCTGAAAGTAACTACAATGTCAGACAAAGGTTTAAATAAGCTTCTTATTTAAAAATAACTTAGAACATAGAGCCATGTTCTTAAGCTAACAAAATCAATTACAGCTCATGAAGATGTAATTAAACAAGAAGAATCAAATTCAAACTAAAAATATGACTAGTGGTCAAAGACTATACAACTTAATTTCATTTTAAGCTGGCTCAGTAACTTTATCATTATGACAAACTCAAATGCCAGCTGAGTGTATGATGCATTAAGACATACACTGACTACCAATAAGTATTTGGACACTTATGCAAATGATGATATCTGCGGTCCCAAGGTACGGCACGGACTCCGTCGGTATACATCGTGTAGGAAACAGCATCGCCTTTAGTCACATGCAAGATGCCGCGCAGTTCGGAGCTCTCTGATTTCGAGAAAGGTATAATTATCGGGTATCACAAATGTGGCCGATCCTTAAGGGACATATCTAGCGATCTGAAGTACCCAATATCGACAGTGGCCTATGTGATTAAGAAGAGGAAGGTGAGGGGTGATTGTCAGAATATGCCCAGAGTCGGCAGACCAACGAAACTGGGGGATAGAGACCGACGAGTGCTGTTCAGAGAAATTCGGAAGAACCGCACCCAACCAATAGCCCTCATCCGCGAGGAGTTTCAATAGGCTTCCAGGAGTATTGTTTCAATGAATACCATCCGCAAGGAAGCACATCTGCTTGGTTTTCATGGTCGTGCTGCTGCCCATAAGCCTTTGATCACAAAGTCCAACCGCGCTCCTCGGTTAATGTGGTGCAAAGCACATCGAAATTGGACCGTAGATCAGTGGAAACGGGTTCCTTTGGAGTGACGAATCAAGGTTCACCCTTTACCGTTCGGATGGCAGGGTCTGGGTCTGGCATCTACCTGGAGAACGTCTCCTGCCAGAATGCATTGTGCCAACAGTCAAGTTCGGCGAAGGTGGAATTATGGTCTGGGGGTGTTTCTCCTGGTATGGGCTGGAACCCTTGGTCCCCATTCATGCTAAGCTCAACTCCGATGCCTACTGCACTATTTTGGATGACAATGTGCTTCCTACGTTGTGGCAGTTTTACGGGTTGGACCCCTGTTACTTTCAGGAAGATAATGCCAGTTGTCATGTTTCGACGTTAACCAAGGCTTCGTATGGTGCCAATGGAGTTCATCGAATGGACTGGCCCGCCCAGAGTCCAGACCTGAACCCTATCGAGAACCTCTGGGACGAGTTGCATCGCCGAATTCAGGGGTGCACTACCCTTGCAAAATCGGTGAAGGAACTTCTATGTCTTCTCCAAGCCGAGTGGAAAAAAATACCACTTGCTGTCATACAAAGACCTGTGGAAAGTATGCCCCGGAGAGTCCACGCTGTAAATACCTCTCGTGGAGGCTCTACCAACTATTGATTTTGAATAAAGTTAGTTTTTCTTTTCTATCACAAGTGTCCAAATACTTATTGGTAGTCAGTGTAGATGAATCTCTTAAATTGTCAGTTTTCAATTTCAAGTAAAAAAATTTCTATACCGCCTGTCCATATGATAAGATTAGAAGCATTTTTGATATTTTCTATGCTTGAGTCTAGTGAAAAGTAGAGAAAATAAAGGGAAGATAAAAATGTGAAGAAAAAGATTCTGGTATCAGAAGTAAAACATTCAACTATAATGCTTTCATTGTTCTTCCAGACATTCTCCAAAAAGTAAGAAATTACGTGTTAATACTATGGAGACATTTTTCATTTTGTCATATTTTTCTGGAATATTCTAGAACTTTCATATCTTTCTAAACTTTCCAAGGTGCAATGTGTAAAATCATAAAGAAAAATTACCCCCAGCAATTCTGCAACAGCATAAAGCCAGAAATAATTTGGCGGGGGGAATCACAGGAAAAAAGTGTAAAATTAATTTTATAAAGAAAACCAGGAAAAAAAAATATTCTAAAATTATATGTGTCAGAGCCCTGTGGAACACCGTCAGGAAAGAGGTACATAAATAAATAAATGACTAATAAAATCATTAATAATTAAATAATTAATAAAATAATTCCATAATTAATGCTTAAAATAATTAAATAGTGGAAGTTAAAATTTAACAAAATATGAAGAGATAAATTAAAATTCAATAAGCAATTTTTAATATAATTTTATTACTAAAAATAAAATTTTTGAGATGTAATTTCTAATGAAATTTTGCTCAGCTACAGAAAAGTGTTCATAACAGAAAAGAAGTGTCACAGCTCTCTTATTTAGGGCCCTGGGTAGAATTATGATTTATAAAACTAAGAAGTACCAAAGTAGGGCTCGGGCCAATTTAAGCTCTGGAGAAAACTGACGCATATTCTGAGACAATGGAAAAACTTACCATGAAAAAATTAAAAATACATTTTTAATTAATTACATAGCTATTTTGCTTTTGCTAAGAAATGTTTCGTAAATGGTGCTTTATAGCATTATACCTTGCTTATTTTTCACATTCAAAATATTGTATAATAAGTGGCGAAAATGGAATTTTATAACATGACAGCCAAAAATAAAAAATGCTTTATTTTAATGTTATTTCTTAAATAAAATTCCAAAATATTACCATTATTTAAATGAGATTTATCAATGTTAAATGTTCTAAAAAATATCATAAAAAAATTTCCAGATCTCGGAAATAAAAATTTTCTATAGAAACTGATCTTAAAATCACCAAAATGTTGGTAAGTCGCCAAATTTAGAACCTTTTAATAAAAGAATTCACATCCCCAAAAGGAAAAAGGTTTTCAAGAGCTCTTCATTAGAAAAAATGAAATAATTTTGAAATGCTTATGTTTCACTTCTTGCTCAAAAACTCGAGTATCCCACCATTTATATAAAAAATAGGAACAAATTATAACTCATGAAACCATTCAAAAGATATTCATATTTGTCACAGAATCGCCAAAAATATTCCTCCAAAATGTTAATTCACACTAAAAATGGGAGTCATAAAAACAGACAGAAATTTCAGATAATTAAAATTAAGGACCTTCTGCCAATTTTGGCCGGACTTTTAATGACCAGAAACTTAAGGACTATTAAGGGGTCATACGAACCCTGCTCGAGGAAGATGAGAAATTACATAATTATAATTATTAATTGATTCTGGGACAAGTTTAAAAGGTAGAAAGAGCAAACATACTTTCACACATTATAAACCATACTGCTGGGTTTGATCGGTTATAAACCGGAATTTGTATGGCATTGTACATCAGACATTGTGAAAGGTTTAAGTCAAAAGTAAAAATTAAACTAAATGAAATATGAACGATAAGTAGAAAAAAAAATCTATAATTACTACTTGTCTGTGATTCAGAGGATGAAAATCAATGTAATCTATAACTTCTGGTTTGGAAATCTTGAAATGGCAAGTCGTCAAACACGAAAGTATTTGCAAACTTTTCATAAGGCCTGATTTAGCAAAGTTCAGATGTCACCAATGTAGAAATCAAGGTGCATATCACATTAAATATTCTCGCTGCATTAAGCAAAACTTTATTCATTTTTATTTCAGGACCAGGAGTAGTGATATTATTTATTCGCTACTCCTTGACAGCTGATCTTTGTTCTCTCTGCACTTCTCCATAGGTTTGCCAAATTCATCGGCAACTTCGCAGGCGCAAGGCGCGCTCCTCTTCACTATTACCACAATTGAATCAAAATAAAGCAAGCAGAAAAACGCCAAAATCCACTATTAATTTCCTGAAAAAACAAAAGGAAACAAGAAATGGGTATCTAGGCCAAACCATTCATGCATATCCCTAAAAAACCTCTTAATGTATCACCCATAGATTTTTGCACTCTTGGACTTTTAAAAACCAGACTGTTCAAAGGCGATCTATAACCTTCCTTCGACTTTGGAAAGCTGTTGATCAGGAATGGAATACCAAGTACATCTTCCAATACAAAAGGCTTGTCTTGGAAATTACACTGGAGAAAGTTAGTGGAGAGTACGAATTATCAAACAGAACATTTAAAACACAAACATTTTAAGTAAAATATTTGTCTAAACACAATGAAAAGCATCTAAAAAAAAAAAAAAAATGTGCGAACAGCCTCTGTATTTATTTCCAAATTAAGTTTAATATTTCAATAACCAAAAAATATTTGAAAAACTACATTTAAATAAAAAACTCAAGCCTGTACATTAAAGCATATTAACAAAGCAGCAATAAAATAAAAAAATACTTACTTGACAGCATGTTTAAATATATCATAAGAACTAGCTTGCTTTTTACATTTTTCATCAAAATACCAAGCTGTCTTTCTGTACAATTCTTCAAGTTCATCATCTGTTTCATATTTTAATATTTCAGCCACATGGCGTAGGATACTATTGACCTAGTTTAAAATCACATTTGCTGTTACATCAAAAATGCAATTCAAATTTGCTATAAAAAATCACATCAAAATTAAAAAAAGATTTCAATTTTCATATAGTCTGTTATTTTACAATACAAATTTCAGGGTCATTTTTTGCTGCATGGATTACCTTATAACTTATAACTGTGGAAACAACAGCTGCAGCAAACAATTTCAGTTGCCTAATTACCTCCCCTGCTCCATTGATGTTTAGGTGCTTTGTTTCAAGAAATGTGCATGAATGAAGGCTTGATTTGAACTAGTCTCAAATGAGGTGGAGAAGATAAGTGCTGTGTGGTGATGAGGGTATGTGTTACCACTGCAAAGAGGGCTAACAGTGGCCTTGAAGTACTGTAAAGGAACAGAGTATAAGAATAGACAAAATTATACATACAGCTCTAGCTTTTGCAAATTTTTCTTCACACTTCTCAATATCTTCAGGAGATACTCTTCTTTTAGACAGATCAATATACCCTACCAATAAAATAAAAAAAAAGATAAATAAGTACTACAGAAATATTTTAGAAACATAAAGCAAGAAACAAAAACATAAAATACTGCATTCCACTTCTAAAGCACAGCTTCTCTTTTTTTTTTTTTTTGCTCACCACCCTCTTTTTGGATATATTTAAGAGGAAAAAAACTTAGCACTCCTTAACTCTGGCAATGGGATATCAAATATCCTTTGAATTTGATCTGTAAACCACTAAATATGTCCATCGAAACTAGTCCTGTGAAAATTTGAAAATATAACGCTCATTTTTGTTGTTTGACTTTTGAATCACTAAATATGTATTAAAAGTTTTACATATTTATTTTATTTGTACTGCCTTGAACTATTAATCACACAAAACAGAAATTAATGAAGCAATTACAGCCATAAACTATGATAAAGTATGTACATATTCTTGTCTTAACATGCACAGCAAAAACATGCATTTTCAGTGCTTTATGAATAAGATTTCATCTTGTGAAAAACCTATGCTTTAGGGATACCTCTTAGTTCAGAGCACCTTTTAATCAGGGACAGATTTCATGGTCCCTTGAAAAGGCTTATATTTCAAGAATTTTTTTTTCTTAGTTGAGGACATCATTGATGACACTAAGTTCTGATATTCTTGTTTGGTTGACCTGATCTTGCTCCATTTTGTCATTTAAATCTATTCAGTTGTAAAGCCTGTTTTTCTTTGTTAAATTAAAATTACCATATTTTATCTTTAAAACAGTTTTATGTCAGTGAGCTGGGACATTGTTCTTAAATAAAATAACTTACTCTCCTCTTTCCTTCCACTAATATGAAACTGAACGGGGGATCCATAAAATTTTAAATACCATTTCTTCGAGCAGTGGGTTGTTCACTTCAGATAGCATGTTGATAATTTTTTTTTCAATAGTTTTAGTTAAATTTTTAAATTCATAAAGATTCAACATGAAATCAAAGCACTACCATTCAGAGAAAAAATAATTGTAACTTAAATGGTCAATACTGAACATCATAGCATACTTAACCAACCTAGGACACTCAAAAATCTGGAAAGTTTATTTTCTTATAAACAAAATGATTTTGTAAATGATAACATATATAAAAAGAAAATATATCTTTTAATAATGAATTAACTTTAAATAGTAACTAATTAATATCTAAAAGTCTAGTTACTAATTCTTAAACTGAAATAGTACAAAAACATTTACATCTAAAAAAAACATTTTTATTATTTGTTCCTTTTAATAGAAAAATAATACTTTAATAAATTTTCATACAAATCCTAAGAACATTAGGAAATTTTGTTTTTATTAAGAAAGAAACTTCGAAATTTTGTCCATAGCAATTGCCACATAGGCCTGTTTTGCCAAAGTGTCATTACTAATACAGGATCCACATTTAGTCCTTGTTTAGTAACAACATTGAAAATCCTCTCACACTATGGGGTAATTATCAGGATAGCTAACAATATTCCAGAACCTTCAGTGAACTTGAAGATTCCACCAACACTTTTCAGTTTCACAATCAGCTGCAATATCAGTATCATTGTCTTTCAAAGCTAAATGAAATAAAACTGGAAATCTATTAAAAAAATGTCTTATATCAGAAAATTATGCATTTTTTTAGAGCAGAAGCATCTGCAACTTTAGCATACAAAATCACTTCATTGTTGACTGGAAATTTATGTAGTATGTAATCACATACTCACAAAAGTCGCTTCTCACTTGGAAATAAAACTTATTTCTGTTTTCCTCTGAAAGTTCTTCACCTACTTCTTTAGTTGCAGCCCCCATTACTAAATTTGCACCTTCTGATTTTCTGTTTTAGCATAAAACAAGACATATATAAGAGAAAACAAAGGTTGGTTTTACAAACTTTGGTAAAATGTCTTTAAACAGATCACTAATTATTAATTGCAAAACATGAATTAATGAAATTCTGCACTGTAGAACTGTGTTAAGAACACTGAATGATGGCTAAATGGAGTACAAAAAAGTAAAAAGCTTTGATAAGGTCTAAAGACAAAAACATAAATTTTTTTGTTAAAAATTTACACAGGATAAACCTACAGTAATCGGAAAATATTTCCCTTGTAGAGCAAAATTATTATTATTATTATTATTTTTTTTTTTAAATTTGGAGAGAACTGTATCAACTTTATACTACTTATAATTTGTAGTATTATTTTGAGAATTTTAAATAACTCACAGCTGCAGAAATTACTTTTTCTGATACCTATTTTTAACAGAAAGAGTAATCACATCTCTATTTACTTAAGGTATTTCATAACTTTCATCAGTTTTTTTTTTTTTTTTTTAATCTATATTCTAAAAGTATTTACTTCTTCCTTAAAAAAATGTAAGATGTGAGTTCCATTGGTGGAGTATTCTAAAAAACATTTCTCTAAAGATAACCAATGTGTATGTACATGTTTCAAAAATTTTTATAACAAATAACAGATTAAGTAAATAATGGACTACATATTAATCTTTAACATCAACAAAGTATACTAGTTGAAAATCCTTTTCAGAAAAATATAATTCACAGATGTAAACACAGAATTCAGTTTATAAACAATTAATGGAATTACTGGAGTTCAGACAGCCAAAATGAGCAGTAATTAACCAGTGGAAGTAAGCTTTCTGATACAGTCAAAAGTCGTTAATTCGGACACCCATAATTCGGAATGATCTATAATCCGGACCTCAAAACTAAAAACTTTCTGCGCATGCGCCGCGTTGACACATGCGCATAGGCGTTTACGCGTGCCCGTAAGACCTTTTACGACTGCGCATATGAGTGTGCCCAAGTGCTGAATATGTTTTCGCGTGTGCGTTTTATGTATAATGGACGTACAAGCTAAAATTATCTAATTATCTATTTCAGTTAATGTTGATGATTGCGTTGTTCCTTAAATTTCGAATTGGATCCAGCTTATTATTTTTTGCAGACTGTAAGAGCAATTTTATAAAAGTAAGCTTAAACTTTTGATTATATCAAATAGAATTTCCGATATATATTTGTTAATATGTAAAGGATCTAAAGCGAAAGTATGTTTTTGAAATCCGAAATCTGTTTATCAATTTCACGCTGCTCGGCGGGGGGAACGCCGCAGCAGGCGCGTAATGAATTGGAAGTTGATCTGTCAGCACTATCCTTATCTTCAGGGTAGATGTTTTTATTTTATTTGGCTTATAATTCCTTACCAAATTAGTATTTCATCTCGATGTGCTCCGTCTTTGATATGATTTAAAACAAGTTCCTCGTCATTATAATTCACTTCCGATAGCGAAGAAAGTAACAGAGGTTAGTGAAAACGAAAAAATTTCGATTGACAAATTAGTCGGTGTTCTTGACACAGCAATTATAGGATTTGAACAGGGGAACTTTGTAACTGAACAAGAAATTATGTCTGTTTACTAGAATTAAAAAGAAAGTATTATCACATGAAACGAAGCAAAACTTAAACAACTTACATTGAAAGAAATGTTTAATAAAGTAAACAAATAAATATTAAGCTTTTTCTTTTTGCAAATTTTGATACCCTTTAGATCATAATTGTTCTTTATTTCATAAATTACGGTTTTATATTTTTAATTTTAGAATTTCTGCATGCCATCTTACGAGATTTAAACTGATGATCTATAATCCGGAAAAATCGATAATCCGGAATCGCCGAAGTCCCGACGAATCCGGATTAACGACTTTTGACTGTACTACAATTTATTTCCAAGAAATACAGGAAATTAAAAGATGTCAGGAAACAATTATAGCCTCAATTAGTTCCCTTTTATTTGATGGGTGCCTCATTCGGACAAGAGTTTTCAAACGGTGCCACAAATTTTCGATAGAATTGAGGTCAGGACTGTTTCCTGGCCATGACAACAATTAAATGCTCTTTGTACGAAACCACTCTTTCAATATTTTGGCCGTGTGGCAAGGAGCAGAATCCTGCTGAAAAATAAATAAAGCATTGTTGGGAAAGAGATCTCTGATGGAAGGTAGAAGTTTTGGTTCTAGAATAGTGTCAATGTATTTTCTGGCATTCAGTGTCCCATCGATGACATGAAGGTGACCAATACCATCTGCTGACATGCATGACCAAATCATAACACTAACTGGGTTCTTCACAGTTGCTTGAATGCAATCAGGATGTAGCTCTTCTCCTATTCTACATCTTACATATTTTCGCCCATCACTACCGAATAACTATACCTTAGTTTCATCACTCCATAAAACTTGTGACCACTGATCATCTGTCCAATTAATGCGTTCCTTTGCCCACTGTAGTCTTCTTTTTCGTTGCTGAAAATTAAAATAAGGCTTTTTTCGTGGAATTCTACCTCTCAGTCCAACATCTTCTCCTGATTGTTCTTGAACTGACAGAAACACCAGCATCATTCAGATCACTTCTGATGGCTGCTGATGACATTTTTCTATCTTGGAGACAATCTTTTTATTCTTCTGTCATCAATAGATATGGTGCACCTTTTTCGGCCTTTTCTTTCTTTGTTTTTTATTGAATTTGTCTCCTGATATCGTAAACAAAACTTTTGGACTCCAGATGTAGTCACTGAACCACCCACCTGTCTTGCAATTTCAGCATAGGAAAGACTACTTTCTCGTAACACAATAATATTACATCTCTTTCTAGGTGTCCAATCTGCTCTTTTATTTGATGTCATTGCTCCTTGACTAAATATTAAAAATTTTTACAAAAATTCCTACTTTTAATTGCAGTGTATAAGAAACAGGTCCTCATTCTACAGAACAAAGCAAAATAATGAATTGTTTCAAGAGTAAACATGATGTCAGCTTCTACTGGCAGTTACTAACATTTCACTGGTTCTCAGAACAAGAACAGTGATTGGCCAGGAAAGCTAGACATTACAAACCACTTCATAACTGTGTTTTTTATTTATATTAAAGTACATATAACTTTTTTGTATTGCAAATAATTGAATTTTGTGTTTTGTATTGAATTCGGTAATAAATTCTCTTTAAAATGATATATACAAGTTTGCATTTTGTGAAACGTAACATTTTCTATAAGCATACAAAGTTCAAAAACATAAAAATTTCCAAAAGTGTCTACAATTTTGGCCACCACTGTACGTTCACCACAAAAAAGAGCTATGATATAAAACTTAACACGTTGACTGCCATGGCACTTTTCGGATTCTGGTCCGAGAAGCCAAACTGATTTAATCATATTATGTTATTAATTTTTATAATTACATTTTTTGTTCATTTTTAAAATAAATCTGTTAATGCAAGCCAGCATTGATTTTTTGTCCTTTTCCTAGAAGCCATCTATCGATATTAGCGCTGATATATTCCGAGTTTAATCGTAGCTGCACAGGCAAGTAAACACAGTACGAGATAACTCATAGTTGGCGTCCTAGAAAAGAACACGATCTACTAGCTATCTCATAGTTGGCAGTCAACATGTTAATTAATATATGAACTTTTATACATTAGAAATGTAATTTCTTTATTTTTATGCAATATTTCACACTGTATGTTAGCAACCTTGAAAAACCATAACTATGCTTATTGTTTGCAGATGCAGTGCATAACTACAAGTGCTGGAATAAATTATAGTTTTTTCTGATTATCTGCACCTTAAACCAATGCCAACTTAAACCAATGTGAAGAAAATAAAGACATTCATTTGCTTATCTTTAATGTTCATATGTACTGTTTTAATCGTAAATAATAATAAAAATAACCACTTTATAAAAAACAAGAAATTTGATGTGAAAATAATTTATACAACACATATTTTTTTAGGCCAATAAAAACCAGAATACTGCTAATTTTGAAATCTGAATTACAATACTCCTTTAACTCTATATTTATTTAGTCAATTCCCTTTTCCATCCTAAAAATAGCAGCTGCTGAACAGATCATTCTAAACTGCATCATTCCAAAAGTAATATTTTTCACACGATCTTTAAAAAATGCAGGTACTTACATACACATCATTCAATAATGATTCTAAATTTAAGAACTGAAACTTAAACAATTAAAATAAAGTTGACCTGAAACTAAAATCACTCTGAACCCTGTTTTTATCTCAGGCGCATCGTATACTTCTGCTTTCTTTCCATTGCTGCTCTTTCCTCCTGAAATCAATTGTTATAAAGATGAACGAGATCAAGAACACACATGAAGACCGAGACGATTACAATGTGTAATTCATATTAAGAATGCACTTATCAAGAATAAGGAAATATTATAATTAGCATTTATCATGCATCAAGCTCCATCACTTAACTCAGGTTTTTTGCTGTGGCAATCATTTTAAAATTACTTCATACATATGCAGTTATTTAAAAGTCGATGATGTGTAGATGTGTAAATACGCACTTGCATCAAGGATGTTACAGTTGCACACATTTTATTTTACTCTTGAGAAGTACTTTCTTAATATTAATTATGTATTGAAATTGGCAGAATTTATGCACCTATTCTTGATTACATCCCCCCCCCCCAATATCCGAATACATATTTTCCTTATTTGATGCATAGTCGTGATAGCAGAGCGGCAAGACGGGATGAAGATGTCGATACCAAACTAAGTTCAGCTAATTACCATCTTTAATTCCAGGCATATTAGAATAATTCTTTATAGACAATATATATATATATTATCATAAGCAATTACAATAATTTCTTATATACACAGATTAACATGGTAATATCATTTTAGATGGAGAAGCAAAGCAGCATGGATGTTGGCATGCCGGAAGCTAAGGAAAGGAAGATGACACCGTTTATTTGCAAACCGTATTTTTTTGGGGGAGCATCAAATCTAGAATCATTAATTTTGAGGTCGCCAATTATTTTTAAAGCAGCTATAGTATTCTGTTATATCTTACATATATATATTTCGAAATGACACAGTTTAGAGAGATTTCTTATAAGCATTTACTTTTTTAGAACAGAATGGGGAAAGACTGAAATTTAAATTGGGATTCAAAGGACTGTTGCAAATTAAAAGTTAAGAGATTTTGATATTTTTTATCTTACATATTTATATGCTGTTGATCTACATACTTCATTTTTGACTTACATATGTATGTTTCCAGTATTGCAAAATTTTTTGAAGCTCGGCCTGTCCAACACTTTTTTTGCCTTTATTTCAATCTACATCAAACATCACACTTCTAATTATATTTATGTGTGTTGTGTATCTGAGGAAGATTGTGTAAGGTAGTAAAATGGGCGAAGGTTATTTGGAAATAATGTTATTAAAGCCAAATTAAAAAAAAAAAAAAATTCATCTAAAGCGCAGTAAGAATGAAAAAACATTAGAACTAGAATAAGAAATAAAGTACAAATTATAAATATCAATTATCCTTTGTTTAATGTTTCTAAAAGAACTTTTCAAGAAGTTAGTATTTGAAAACTACACCCAAATGATTAATTAGTGCCGAACACGTTTTATTCTTGACAATATGTGACTCAAATGCTGTTACTTTATTGTCTGAGAGTCCTGAATAACATTACTAATTGTCTCTTACTGTCAAAGTATTATCCTGACATGTGGTTCGTGCCTTTAAATTATAAGTAAAAATAAAAGTAAACTTAAAATTAGTTGCAGGGAAGGAAAACTTTTATTTATCAAAATGCTATTGAATATGATGAAAATAATAATTAGTGTTTATACTATCATGTGGATAACTTAGTAATGCATCATATGCTGATATAAAATAAAATTAAATACAAATATGAACTGATTAAACATTTCCTAAATTTCCATAAAAACACTGCTTGAATCTCCATAAAATGTTAAGACAACTGAAATTTAATAAGAAAAATTATGCTAAAAACTATGAGGGCTGGAAAATAGAATTTCCACAATTAGAGCTTCATTAATTCATTAAATTTCCTATACTATTCAGAAACACTTTTCTTAGTACTATAGGCTAAGTATTAAAAATTAAGAATTTCTGAGATTTACTGGAAGATATGTTGAAAACCTGGGAGAGTTGCTAGCTGATCTTAGATTATCTGAAGTTTTAAAATATATATATACAATTTGTGTTATGAAAGAAGAAGAAGAAGAAGAAAAAAAAAAAAAAAAAAAAAAAAAAAAAAAAAAAAAACCCACAATCAATAATTCAGAAAAGCGTAAGATTATGTTACAGATGTAAAAGTTAACAGAAGACACTAAAACTGAACTGAGCACACTAAATCAAAAATATAATTATGAAACTAGTGATCAAAGTACAAGAGTGAGAGAGTGCATATTTTTATGTGAAAATAAAGACATGGAAATTTAAAATCCATATTTAAATGATATTAAGCATGGGAAACTGTACAACAAATAAAAATTATTTTTAATGTTATGCAATTTCAGAAACACAGAACGCAGTTACAATACTCATGGGAATCAATTCATAAATACTCCGGGATGTCATAGTCACATACTTATGCACTTATTAGGGAATGATTAATATATTTTATTGTTGAAATTTTACAGATAACTAGTAATATTAATAAGCTATACCTTTCTCTTTATCCACTCGGATAACAACAACACATTCATCTCTACCTACACGAATAAGTTTATTTATGGAACGAATACGACGCCTAGAGAGTTCAGAAAGCAGAATCATTCCTTCTATATTATTATATTCCAGCAGGGAGACATAAGCACCCATTTCAGCTATAGAGCGAACTTTTACCATAACAACATCTTCTACTTCAGGATATTTTTGAGAATAGAATCGGCACGAAAGTGGCATTGTAAGATACTTCTATGAAAACCTGAAAAAGATTAAAATATTCAGTATGAAAATATTATTTTTTGAGCACATAGTCAGGGACTAAAAAGTCCCTTTCTTTCTATTTTTAAAATGATTTTCTCAAACTGCCAGTTTTAAAAGTAATTCAATTTCTAGGTAAAAGTATAGTTTAGGCGATTTTTGCCGCTACACGGATACCGATTTTGTGCAATTCTTTGATTTGCGAAGCGGCGATCTTTGCCGCTACACCAAGCCAAAATAACATGACAAACAATCCCACAAACTCGGTATCCATGTACACATAGATTTATTTTCAATTAAAAAAAGAAATCCTCCAATTTCACAAAAATGGCATTGCGCACTCCTTTGACTTTATCCATGTACACGTCGCCCTATTTTCACTTTAAAAAAAAATCCCAGAATTGCACAAACTTGCATTTTCCACTCCATTTACTTTGTCCATATATACATATCGATATTTTTTCACTTAAAAAGTCAAAGGAGCACCCAATTCTACAATATAAGCAAACAAAAAATACATAATATCAATGAAATACATTTTAAACCAAACAATAAAATAACATAAAAAAGGAAAAACATGTCATACATTTAAGCACTACCAAAAGCAAATATTCACTTACCATGATTTTTGAGTTCGCTTCGCATACCCACAGCCACATAAAAATCAAAATATCAATCATATTGAAATGACTTTTTTCAAACCAGTTACTCTTTCTGATCGAATGCTTCACATAGTGACCATCTGAACCTTTCTTCCAACAAACCCATTGAAATCCATCTAAACGGTTTTTATGTTCGACTAGACGCATATCCTTCTTACATACAGGACACTTATAATGTTATAATGGCTACTAAGTAAACATTCATTTACACACTAGTCAATTAAAGCTCTTTTCCCCTTTCGCACCAAATCATACAGAAACTTCAAATTAATCTTACTACATTCAGCCATTCTACCGTCTAAAGAATCAAACCAACACACACCACAAAAACGCTTACAAAACATCCCATGATTCAAAATTTCCTAGAATCATGCACCCAATTACATCACAATAGAATTTTCAAAACATTCAACTACTCAGGCTACCACAAATGAAACAACTTGGCGATAAATCAAACAACAGCTTCGCCATAATACAAGGGGTACCTTAAAGTCTACTCTACCCAACCTCTATTTAAATATATTAAGAAATGTAATGCATATTTTTATACCTTATATAATAATTAATTACCAGATAAAACAATATTGGGTTAGACTAAAGAGAAGGGTACCTATTCGCTTTAATATAGCGCCCTCTTGCGAGAGGAGCCAAATTTAGTTGAGTTGGTTGTTGAAGAATGTACGTAGCGGACCTATGGTGCGTTCGCTCGTTCCACTTTGTGCTAATGGAGCACCTAACTTGTAACCTTGTACATATGTAAATAATTAAATATTTGTGTGGCCTAACTTAGTTTTATTTTGGAACCAGTGCCAATTATCTCTCGTAACTCATAGCATTTCATACCAAACAAAATTTATGGTCCGTCGAGCCGGAGTTGCTTGGTTTTTGTTAACTAAGTTCGTATTAGTATAGAATGGCCACTATAGTTGCTTTAAATCGAAAAAAGGGCTCATTGAAAGCCCAGCTAACTAGAATAGAGCCTGTCATAGTGGATAGTACCAGCATATGGGCTAAAATCAAAAATAGATGCCAAGCTCAAGGGCTTGGAAAAGATGTCTGTTGCTTTGGATGCACTTCGATCGGAATATCATATTGCTGTGCCTGAAAACGATGACACTTCTGTATTAGAAGAGGAATTATTAGATCTAGAAGCAAGAATCGACGATCTAGAGGTAAGTTTCAATCAAATGTTAATTGATAATGTTGCTAATATTAATAAGGTTGATATCGCAAAGAGTAGTTGTAAAATAAAGTTACCTGAAATTCTACTTCTGCAATTTAGCGGAAAGTATGAAGAATGGAGCATGTTTAAAGTTGAATTTAATAATATTGTTACCTCGAATACTCAATTAACAGATGCACAAAAGCTACATTATCTGCATGCCGCTCTTAAGGGAGAAGCAAAATTGTTACAAACTCAGGAAGATACTTTTGAATCATTATTTAGGGCTTTAGAAAATCGCTTCGAAAACAAGAGAATTCTTGTTAATATTCACATTAAAGCTATTTTAGAATTCGAAAAAATATTCATGAATCATCGAAAGAATTAAGGCATCTAGTAGATGCTGTGAATAAAAACATTAGAGCTTTAAATAATTTGGGTTTCGAGCGAAACAAATTCTCTGATATTTTAATTACTTCTGTCATTTTAGACAAAATAGACAAGGAAACTCAAAAACAATTCGAATTATCGGTAAACGCTTCAGATGTTCCTAATTTCGATAACTTGATGACATTCTTAGAAAAAAGAAATCAAACTTTGGAAAATATATAATATATATATATATATATATATATAAAAAAAAATCAAACAAAATGAATGAAATGAAATAAAACCAAAAAACCTTCTTGTTCATTCAAATAATTTGGAAAGAAACTGCGTTATATGTAAATCGCCACATTCCCTTTTTAAATGTAGTAAATTCCTTGCTATGAATTTTGGTGAAAGATTTACGCTAGTAAAATGAAATAACTTATGTCTGAACTGTTTGGGAAAAAAACACATTGCTTCGCAATGTCGATCGAATAATTTTTGCAATATCTGCCATTCATTGCTTCATAAGGATGAGTCAATGAATTCGGATTCTGTTTCAAATAAACATCTACAGAGGATAGAGCAGAAGACAGCTGGCGGGAAGGGGACATTCATTAAAGGAAAGGCTCTTCTTCACAGCTGCTCACAGATTAACTGTGTGTCTTCTGATCATTTTGCAAAACAATTAGGGATTTAAAAAACAAAGGTTTTCGCTCCAATTTCAGAATTAAATGGAACTGATATTACTTTAAATTATAAATTGAGGACTTCAATTGCCAATATGGAAAAAACATTCTCTAGAGAACTTGATTTTTTTATTGTTCCCAAAATTACAGAAATGACTCCCCTTACCCCCATACTATTGAAAATATTGACATCCCCAGGGATATTTCCTTAGCTGATTACAGATTTAACACACCTGAGGAAATTGATTTATTATTGGGTGCAGAATGTTTCTTTGACTTATTAAAATTGAGTCTAGTTCGCAGCACGACAAAAGACTTATTGTTCCAGGAAACGGTTTTTTGATTCCTAGTTAGTGGCATTGTGCATAATTCATCACTTGAATCACAATACTGTGATCTACTTACACAAAATGAAAATTGAAGAAACATTGCAAAAATTTTGGGAGGTAGAAAATATTAATTTTTCGGATTCACCACTTAGTCCTGAAAAGAAATATTGCGAAAAACATTTTAATGAAACTCATTATTGAACCTCGGAAGGTAAATATGTCGTATGCATGCCCACGAAGGACTCTGAATTGTTGGGCGAGTCTAGATATTTAGCAGAGAAAAGACTTAATCAAGTTTGGCTGAGATTTTGTTGGGACTCGAATTTACAACGATTGTATTCTGAATTCACGCAAGAATACAAATTTTTAAAGCATAAGGAACTAGCTGAGGGATCTGAATCCATGACTGATTCGTACTACCTGCCTCACCATGGGGTTTACAGACCAGACAAAAGTAGTACACGTTTAAGAGTGGTTTTTAACGCCTCAACTGCCACAACATCGGGATTGTCATTAAACGATATTTTGTTGAAGAGAAGAATTCCACAGCAGGAATTATTTTCTATAACGGCTAGATTTAGAAAACATCGCTACGCCTTCACAGCAGATGTATAAAAAATGTATCGACAGATTCTAGTCTATCCTCCACAAAGAGACTTGCTCAGAATTCTATGGAAAGACAGCATTGATGCACCAGTGCAAACTTATAAGCTCAACACAGTAACGTATGGGACGTCAAACGCTCCCTATCTAGCAACTCAAGCTCTTAAACAGTTAGCTATAGATGAAAGCCAAAACTTACCTCTAGCTACGTCCATCGCTCTTACTGACTTCTATGTCGACGACATACTTTCTGGAAAATCATCACTCGAAAATACTAGAATTCTACAATACCAATTAATAGAGTTGTTGAAATTAGGTAAAATGGAATTGCATAAATGGCGTGCAAATCATCCAGATCAGATTGTGTCTGAAAATAAGGTTACCGCTCATTCAGAATACACTTTTGCTTCATCCGTAAATCTCTTGTTGTCTTATAGAAACCTCAGACTGACTGTTTTTTGTTTACAATGACCATTCCTCACTCTAACAGTTATAGTAAACGAGATGTTCTGTCATTAATTTCGAAAATGTTCGATCCAGTTGGTTTAATTGGGCCAGTGGTCACAAAGGCCAAAATATTCATGCAAAGGCTCTGGCTTGCTAAACTCGATTGGAATGACACATTGCCAGATTCTATGGCCAAGGAGTGGATTAATTTCGTATCCACACTCTCTGAACTAAGTAATCTTAAGATTCCTAGATTTGTATTCCAGGAAAATCACATAGTGTTCCATGGATTTGCAAATGCGTCATCTTCGGCATACGAAGCTGCAATCTATGTTCAAGCTTTGCCAGTTTCGGGATTGCCAACCGTTCAACTTTTGTGTAGCAAGTCATGAGTTGCACCTATAAAAAACTTATCAATTCCTAGATTGGAGCTGTCAGGTTGCCTTCTATTATCCATATTGATGGTAAAGTGATATCTTCGTTGAATATTAAAGTAGAAAAAGTAATTCTTTGGTCTGATTCTACAATTTCTCTTGCTTGGTTTAGAAAATAACCAGACTTACTAAAAACTTTCGTGAGCAATAGAAATGCTTTAATACAAGAGCTTACGGGGTCATACCAACGGAAATATGTGCCATCTGAATGTAACCCAGCTGATGTCATATCACGTGGACTGGATGCAAATGACATTCTTACGTGTGATATCTGGTGGAATGGACCAGACCTTCTTCGTAAGGACGTGCATTATCCAGAACAACCTCTTGCGCCTACGACTGATAATGACTATGTCAAGGAACTGAAATGTTTATCAGACTCTAATTTTGCAATATTAGAAAATAATTCTAGTTTAACCTCTCTCTTAAATCAAACAAATAATTATATGAAATTAATCAAAATTTGTAGTTTTATTTTTAGGTTCTTCAGAATCATTAAGAATATGGAAAGGGTTTCAGGGCCTATATCCTTAGAGGAACGGAAAGTGGTTGAGTTAACATTGTTTCGGTAAGTGCAGAAAGGTGAGTTTTATTCTGATATTGAGTCACTTAAGAGAGATAGCCAAGTACCTCGTAGGAGCAAGCTTAAGTCGGTAAATCGATTCATCGATAATGATGGAATCTTGCGCATCGGTAGCAGACTTGCGCAATCTCAGGTTAAGTTATGATTGTAAATATCCAATCATTTTGCCAGTTAGACATTGGTTGACTTATTTGATCATGTACTATTATCATCTGAAATATTTGCATCTTGGACCAGAAGCTCTATTAAGTATTGTTAGACAAAAAATTTGGCCCATCAGTGGCAGGTATCTTGCTAGAAAAATAGTACATGAATGCGCACAGTGATTCAAACACAGACCTGTACCAGTAAATCAGATAATGGGTGATCTGCCTGCTGAACGAGTGTCAGTTGAATCAACCTTTAACAAATGTGGACTCGATTTTTGTGGTCCGTTTCTTATAAAGGCAAAAAAAAACAAAGAAAAGGAGTTTTTCAAAAAATGTATGTTGCAGTATTTGTGTGCCTTGCTACAAAAGCAATTCACTTAGAAATTGTCTCAGACTTATCTTCGGAAGCAATAATTGCTACCCTAAAGAGATTTTTCACTAGGAGAGGGAAAAGCTCAACCATATTTAGCGATAATGCTACAAACTTTCGTGGAGCTCGAAATGAATTAAGCAAGTTGTTTAAATTAGCCAAAGTACCAGAACAAGGATTATCCGACTATTTGTTGTTAGAGGAGATTGAGTGGAAATTTATACCTCCTAGAGCACCGCATTTTGGTGGGCTTTGGGAGGCAGGAGTTAAATCGTTCAAAACGCATTTTAAAAAAACGGTTGGGAATTCAAAATTAACTATGGAAGAATTTTTAACTTTAGTAACACAAATAGAGGGAATATTAAACTCCAGACCAATTTCTCCTCTCTCTTCAGATGCAAGGGATTTTAATGCGTTAACGCCTAGTCATTTTTTAATTGGCTGTTCTATAACAACCCCTGTAGAACCAGAAATTATAAATAAGTCTGACAACCGATTGTCTAGATGGGAAAGAGTCACCAAAATGACTCAAAATATTTGGAAAAGGTGGCAACGGGATTATTTATCGCAACTTCATGAGCGAACGAAATGGTAGTTTAAAAAAGATAATGTTTAATCAGGAACTATGATGCTTGTGAAGGAAGACAATTTGCCTATTTTTCACTGGATTTTAGGTCGAGTTGAAGAAATTATACCCGGATTGGACAAAAGAGAGTAGTTTGTGTACGCATGGCAGAGGGTCTCTTTAAAAGGCCTGTCACAAAATTAAGTATTTTGACCATACCACGCAACTATCAGATATAAAATTTCCATATTATGAATGGACATTACATTAATTCATTTAGTGCAAGTATAGTAATTTTATGTGTAACATTTTTATGTTTTATATTATATGCTACTGAATTTAATTGTAATTGAAATAATTTGTGTTAAATTGCATTTCATTGTGTATTTCATATGTATGTCTAAATTTGAATTTGATTGTAAAAATTTTATGGCATTATTGAAACTTGTTTCAATGGGGACCGAAATGTTCAGTTTAATATAGCGCCCTCTTGTGAGAGGAGCCAAATTTAGTTGAGTTGGTTGTTGAAGAATGTACGCGGCGGACCTATGGTGCGTTCGCTCGTTCCACTTTGTCTGTGCTAATGGAGCACCTAACTTGTAACTTTGTACATATGTAAATAATTAAATATTTGTGTGGCCTAACTTAGTTTTATTTTGGAACCAGCACCAATTATCTCTCGTAACTCATAGCATTTTATACCAAACAGTACCCCTTATATTATCGCGAAGTTGTCGTTTCATTTATGGTAGCCTGAGTAGTTGAATGTTATCGAAACCCTATTATGACGTAATTGGTTGCATAATTGCGGTAAATTCGTAAGGACTTGTATGTGCGTGTTGGAAGTATATTGCTTGTTTTGTGGTTTAGATGGTAAAATGGCTAAATGTGGTAAGATTAATTTGAAGTTTCTGTACGATTTGGAAAGAAAGAAAAAAAGAGCATTACTTGACTGGTGTGTAAATGAAGGATTACTTAGTCCTGTTTGTAGGAAGGAAATGCGTATGGTCGAACGTCGGACAATAAACGGCGCTATGGAGGATATTTTTGACTCTTATTTTGTGAATTTATGTGGCGACATCAGTATACAGATTCTAGTTCAGATAATTTTAAGAAGTTTTCGGATGCTGTTAAGGAATTTTGTTTGACTGAAGACATATTAATTCGTAAATAAGGTAAGTGGATATGTAGTGCAAAGATGAATTTCCTTTTTTATGTTATTTCATTGTTTGATTTAAAATGTAGTTTATCGAGATTATATATTTTTTGTTCGCTTCTTCTTTGACTTTTTAAGTGAATACAATTCGACGTGTATATGGGCAAAGTCAAGAAAGTGCGCAATGCCTAGTTTGTGCAAATCTCTGATTTTTTAAGTGAAAATAGGTCGATGTGTGCAATGCCAAGTTTGGGCAATTCTCTGATGTTTTTTGAAGTGAAAATAGGTCGTTGTGTACACAGATAGAGTTTGTGCAATTCTTTGTCTTGTTATTTTGGCTTTGTGTAGTGGAGATTTTTGCAACAAGTCAAAGAATTGCACAAATTCGGTATCTACATACCACCAAAAATTGCCAAGGGATAACCAAAAAAATATTTTTAAACAAAATTGTACATAATTTATTAATTAGCAGTATCAAATAACATGAAATATCACAGCTTTCTGATTATCTGCACCTTCAATGAAAAGTTGCAAAAGCACAGATGAAGTAATGTACACTGTGTTGGGGGGGGGAGGAGGAAAGGACAGCTCTATATCTGCGGTTCTACTGGGCCGAATGACAAAATTCAACTTGCGCTTTCCATGTCTCGAAAGTGCAACTTAGGATATGAATTTGATTTATGTACAGTATTGTTCTAATATAAAGAATTTGACACAAAATCGGACTTTTTCTGAAATGACATGCCAATTTTTTTCCCCTATTTTAACTCTACGACTCAAATTATGCCATGAAGTACTGGAAGAAACTTGCTCTTATAACTGATACCAATCACTTTCGCCATGAACAACATGTTTAATTTTGTCCTAGTTTGAATGACGATCAAGATTCATTATCTATAACTTAGCAAACACAAGTGCATGACAAGTTTAAGTCCTCAAATGTACCCAAAGGGCTAAACTTACTTGATTCTTTCTTCTAGAATTTGAAATTTAGGTTCATTCCAAATAAAATTCGCCCAATTTTTAACGATTTCTTTTTAAAATGTGCATTTTTAAATATTTTTTATAATTAAATTTTTTTTTTGTATTATAACCTATAATATTTTTAACATTATCTTGAAGTAGATGTACCTCTAAGCATTCATTGTAAAAAGTTACAGTTTTTTATTTTTTAGAATATACGTGAATTTACATTTTGGCACGTTTTGATATGGTATATTTAATATATATATGATAATAATAAAAATGTGGTTTATGCACTTTTTTAAAATTATTTGAAAGAATGAATGATGGACCTTTTTTCTTCTC